AGGTGACGGAGGTGAAGGAGGAGGGCGGGAAACGACAGGACGGGCGGGGCAGGGAAAAGAAGGACGGGGCGGAGAAAGAAGGATGAAAAGGAGGGGGAGGAGGGAGGAGGAAGAGCAGGAGGAGGAGGAGGAGGAGGAGGAGGAGGAGGAGGAGGAACAGGAGGATGGTGATGCGGAGGAGGAGGAGGAGGAGGAGGAGGAGGAGGAGGAGGAGGAGAGAGGAGGATATGAGGGTACGGAGAGGGACAGGGAGGAGGGAGGCCAGCGGGGGCGTGGGAGGAGGAGGAGGAGGAGACGCAGGAGGACGAGACGTAGGAGGACGAGAAGTAGGAGGACGAGGAGGACGCGGAGAACGATGAGGACGAGGAGGAGGAGGAGGAGGAGGAGGAGGAGGAGGAAGAGGTGACGGAGGAGGGCGGGGAAACGGCATGACGGGCGGGGCAGGGAAAGGAAGGACGGGGCGAAGGTAAAGAAGCAGGAGGAGGAGGAGGAGGAGGAGGAGGAGGAGGAGGAGGAGGAGGAACATGAGGGTACGGAGAAGCACGGGGAGAAGGGAGGCCGTCGTGGGAGTGAGGAGGAGGAGGAGGCGGAGGAGGAGCAGGAGCAGGAGCAGGAGCAGGAGCAGGAGCAGGAGCAGGAGGAGAAGGAGGTCGAGGAGGACGAGGAGGAGAAGGAGGAGGAGGACGAAGAAGACGGGGAGGACGAGGAGGGAAGGAGGAGGAGCAGGAGGAGAGGAAGGGGAGGAGGAGGGGGAGGTGGAGGAGGAGGAGGAGGAGGAGGAGGAGGAGGAGGAATGTGAGGAATGTGAGGAGGAGGAGGAGGAGGAGGAGGAGGAGGAGGAGGAGGAGGAATGTGAGGAGGAGGAGGACGAGGAGGAGAAGAAGGAGGACGAGGAGGGCGAGGAGGAGGAGGACGAGCAGGAGTAGGAGGAAGACATGGAGGAGTAGCAGGAGGAGGAGGATGAGGAGGAGGATACGAATAATAATACCCAGGGACATAAGACTAATACTCATACTCATGAGACGAATAATCAGAGCATTTCTACTAATCAGAATAATGAGAAGACGGATGAGGAGGAGGAGACGAAGGGGGGGAATCAGAAACAGGAGGAGTATGAGGCGACGAAGGAGGGCCGGGAGGAGGCAGGCCGGTGGGGGATGTAGGAGGATTGGGAGGTGGAAGGAGGATGGAGGAGGGAGAGGGTGGACGAAAGGGAGGGGGAGGAGCAGCATGAAATGGCCTTCATGTTTTGGCACCGGGGGGGGGGGCGGAGCAGACTGCCCCTGCCCGGGCCAGGTCGCCTTCTGCGTGCTCAGACTGCAAACATCCCCTTCGCCCCCCGTGCAGCAGGAGGACGACAAAGGATCAGGAGCAAAAGGAGAGGAGGACGAGGAGGGAGTATGAGGAGCACGAGGGCGAGGAGGAGGAGGACGAGAAGGAGGAATAGGAGGATAATGGGGAATCCAGGAAAAGAGGTTGAGGAGGAGGGGGAGGAGACGAGGAGGCGGACGAGCACAAGGAGGAGCAGAGGGTGCATGAGGATGACGACGACGAGGAGAACGAAAGGACCTCCATTCGTCCGGGCCGCAGTCAGGAAGGTTCGGCATGGCGGAGGAGGAGGAGGAGGGAGGAGGATGGATGGAGGAGGAATGAGGAGAGAGGAAGAGGAGGGGAATAGGTGGAGGAGAGAGTATTAGGATGAGGAGAACGAGTGAGCAGCAGGAGCAGGAGGAGGATGGGGAGATGAGGAGCAGGATGAGCAGGAGGAGGAGAGGATGAAGGAGGAGGAGGCGAAGTGGAAGTGGGAGGAGGGGGAGGGGGAGGGGAGGAGGGGGAGGAGGAGGGGAGGAGGAAGAGGAGGCGGAGGAAGAGAGTAGGAATAGATTAGAGTAAGGAGTAGGTAATAGGAATAGGAATATGAATAGGAAATAGAGGAGAAGAGGAATAGGAAGGAGGGGTCGCGGCCGCTCGGGTGGCCCCTGCCGCAACACCGCAACATGGTCCCCCGACCGGCGCGACCTCGCGGGGAGTAAGGGAAGGGGAGGAGGGGAGAGGAGGATGAGGAGGGCAGGAGGGGAGCAGGAGGAGCAGGAGGAGGAGTAGGAGGTGGATGAGCAGAAGGGGAGGAGGAGGAGGAGGAGGAGGAGAGAGGAGCAGAAGGTAGAGAGGGGAGAGAGGATGAGGAGGAGGAGGGAGAGGAAAAGGAGAGAAAGGAAGAGGAGGAATGATGGGTCGGATGAGGAAGAGGAGGAGGAGGAGAGGAGGAGGAGGAGAGCCGAGAGAGAGGAGGAGGAAGAGGAGGAGGAGGAGGAGTGGAGGAGGAAGGATGAAGGAGGAAGAGGAGGAGGACGAGGACGATGAAGACAAGGAGGGGGACGAGGAAGAGGAGGAGGGGGGAGTGCAGAAGGCATCCGTTTGCAGCGCGGACTCTTCCACATGCGTGCCAATGGCACGGCGTGGCGCCTCGCGGTCCTCCACAGGCATGGTTCCCATCGGATGCCGCAACCGCGACAGGGGCCCCCGACGCGGCGCGACCTCGTCGGGGAGGAGGAGGAGGAGGAGGAAGAGGAGGAGGAGGAGGAGGAGGAGGAGGAGGAGCAGGAGGAGGAGGAGGAGCAGCAGAAGGAGGAGGAGGAGGAGGAGGAGGAGGAGAAGGAGCAGGAGGAGGAGGAGAAGGAGGAGGAGGAGGAGGAAGGAGGAGGGTGACGAGCAGGACGAAGGGGACGAGGAGGAACACGAGGACGACGAATAGGAGGAGGCGAACGATGAGGACCGCTCCCCTCCCGCCCTCTGGGGAGAGAGGCGGGATGAGGGAGGGCTCAAAATGGTGCGTACCCACCCCAGCAACCCACCCCAATCTTCATCTGCCTTGGGATGAATGACAAAGAGGAGTTGGGTTGAGGAGATAGTAGGAAGCGGAGGAGGGAGGCAGGAGGAAGAGGGCGATAGTCAAAAAGGTACCCCCCGTTTGCCCCTGCCTTCAGAGGGACGGGATCGGGGAGGAAGAGAAGAACGAGGTTGTACGATGAGTGAGGGAGGAGGGGTGAGGCGGGCCAGGCTTGAAGAGATGCTCGAAATCATGTCTGTAGCGAGGAGAAATGCAGTCAGGAGAAGGAGGAGGAGGAGGAGGAGGAGGAGGAGGAGGAGGAGGAGGAGGAGGACATGACTAGATGCGAACAGTCGCAAAATCCTAGCCTCCACCCAGACCTCCAGCACCGAGATGATGAGTAAGCCGTACGGGGCAAAGTGGCATTGCGCCAACACAAATTCAGATTGATCATGTTTCTCCACATTTCATGGATGCCAATACGTTCACGTTATTTCAAGCTGAGCGGAGTATCAATGCCCCAAATCAGCATTTCGAATGCATTTGGCAAGACACACCATCACGCGAAAACTCTCAACGCCAGGTTGCCACCCAATCGCCATGAACAAAGCCATGCCAGAACGACCAATCTTGAGTTGGAGCGCTGGTCAGTGGATCAAGCAAAATACCAGGCGCACGCTATACGTGTAGTTGAAGGCGAGCTCTCCATCATATGCTGCGGCTTACTGCTGTGTTTGACCCAGACGGGGGCCTTGGTCCAGACCCCGGTGACTGGCCGTGCTGCGTCATCATGCAGTTTAGGCCTGCGAGCACGTCCCCTGGCAACACGCATTCGCCTCTGCCCCGCTGAGCTGGAGGGCGACGCCGAGGAGCCCCTGGATCGGGGGAGGACAGACCTCCTACCCTGACACGTCGATGAAGGAATTGGCCGTTCTCGGTTCGCGAGAGGGCGTCGCGGCCGCCTTTTTTGCGGGTCCAGGTCCGTCGGCGTCGGTCCCCGGCCGTTTTCACTGAGGGGAGGTCTACCATCGGGGGCGGAAAAGAGGGGGGTGATGACTAGGGGGGGGGGGTGGATATCATGGCGGGGGCCATGATATTTCCCCAAATTTCATGGCGCCTCTTCTTATTTCATTACGTCCCTGGCCCCCCCGCTGGGCCGCGCACGTGCCGCCGGTCATGATTTGCACCCCCCCCCTCTTGGACACCCCCCTCTCGGCCGCTCTCGAGGTCCACCAAAGGGAGGTTTGTCCACCTCCGACTGGAGCGGCCGCGCGGCGACGCCGAGGATCGCACTACGAAGCCTGGCTCGGCAGTTCCGCAGCGACTGCCCGCCCGCGCCGCCTGCGCCAGCGCTCCGCCCGCCGCCTGCGCCAGCGGCGTCCCGCCGCCCGGACAGGTCCACCCCCCGCAGGGGCCCTCCTCCTCCTCCTCCTCCTCCTCCTCCTCCTCCTCCTCCTCCTCCTCCTCCTCCTCCTCCTCCTCCTCCTCCCCTCCTCCTCCTCCCTCCTCCCTCCTCCCTCCTCCTCCTCCTCCTCCTCCTCTCCTCCTCCTCCTCCTCCTCCTCCTCCTCCTTCTCCCGCCCTCCTCCTCCTCCTCCTCCTCCTCCTCCTCCTTCCTCCCTCCTCCTCCTACTCCTCCTCCTCCTCCTCTCCTCCTCCTCCTCCTCCTCTCTCCCTCCTCCTCCTCCTCCTCCTCCTCCTCCTCCTCCTCCTCCTCCTCCTCCTCCTCCTTCTCCTCCTCCTCCTCCTTCGGGGTGGGTGGACCTCCTACCCTGACGCGTCGATTCGTGATTTGGCCGTGTTCGGTTCGCGAGGGGGCGTCGCGGCCGTTGTGTTTTCGGGCCCGGGTCCGCCGGTTTCGGTCCTGGGGCGGTTTCTTTAGAGGGTGATTTGCTAAAGGGAGGTTTGTCCATCGCCGAGCGGCGGACGGCGCTTCGCCAGGACGTCGATGCCTTCAGGCAGACGTGGCAGCAGCAGTGGGGCCCACCCAACCACGACTTCGACGGCCACCCGCAGCGCTGGCGCTCCCGGGCGGCAAACGCCCCTTTCCCGCGCTGCAGCCGGGCAGCAGGCTGTGCGCCAAACAATCACGTCGTGAACGGAGCCCTTCAATGCCAACGGGGAGCGGCAGGATTCGACGGATGGACGGGCGTGGAATTTCGACCCGTTGCCAGGCGGGCCCCAGAGATCACGCGCGAATTCTACAACCCGTGGTACAACACCACTCTCGACATCGCCGCCTTTGGCATCGACGACACCATGGAAGATCGTGGGCATCCGGAAGAGCGGAGACGACTCGAGGCCCATCGCCATTGGCCACTGCACCCTGCGCCTCTGGCAGTCGGCCCTCGCGCGGGCAGCCCCCGATCCAGGGGCCAAACAGTTGCCGTGCCGACGTGCTACCAGCGTCACCCACGCGATCTCGCCGCGGCTCCACTCTTGTGCTCTCAGCGGGGAGGGCTCGGAACACGACCTGTGTAAAGTGTACGGCAAACAGATTCAGGCATCGTGGAGGACGCCAGTCGAACGGCAGGGCATGCCGCCACACATCATTCGGTTGTGCACGACGGTGTGGCGTGCCCCGAGTTTCTGCACGATGAGAGGCGAGCTTAGCCAGCCAATCTAGCCTAAGTTCGGGCCCCTTCAGGGAGACAGCCTCGCCCCCAATGCTCTGGTCGACGCCTTCACTTCATGAGCGCCCGATGCTGACTTGGCCTACATGGGCGACCGCAGCCTCACGGCCATCGACGAGGTCGCCCTCGCGGCTGAAGTCGCCATGACCACGCAGTTCGACACCGACGTCGGCTTCACGAAGAACGCTAGCAAGCGGCAGACCTGGAGCGTCGCTGGCGATCTACCAGAACGCATCGAGCACTCTGGCTTCACGGCTGTCCCAACGGATCTGTCTGCGCCCGTCAATCCGCGAAAGGGTTGCGCAACGATCGAGAACGGCATTGCCATCCTGGACGGCCTCCCGGGCAGTGTCGCGGTCCGCGCCATCTTCGCCATCGGCTGCATCCGACCACACTGGACCTGGGCAGCGCCGCTGCTGACCTCTGTCCTGGCGGACTACACCAGGCGCTTGTTCCGCGCCATCAGCACGGTGCAAGTGGTTGTGTTTGGGTCGCTTTGGGGCCCTCACATGATTTGGCATCCGCAGTATTCGCAGGCCCTCCGGAGCCCCCGTGCCGTCTCCCACCCAACATAGGTCTGGAGCGGCTTCGTTGAGAGCGCCAGCACGGCGCGCGCGACGTCCCTTGGCTTGAAATTCATCACGTACAGCGACGACGCCCACGGCGTCCAGCTCGAAGTGTCCCCCACCGACCGCCGCTTTCTGCAGATGGCGCGAACGTTCCTCGGCGCTAACTCCCAGAGTCTCTAGACCACCCACAAGAAGGCAGTCCACTCGTTGCGCGCCCTAGCGCGCGCCCGCTGCCCCCAGCACGCGCGACAGACCAGGCTCGGCACGGAGGAAGTGGACAACACCGACGTCGACGCCTCATCACATTGAGTCTTCACCAGTGGGATTCTATGCTGGACGATCACGACGAGAAGCTTCTCACGATGCACCGCAGCGGCGCAGTGTTTACACCCGCGCGCCAGTTGCGCACTCACCCGTGCAAGAACTTCAGCCACCTCTAGCCGCCTCCCCGGCACTTGCGGCACGAATGTCTTGAGTTCCCACACGAGTTCAGTGATTCATCCCGCGCAACTTCTTGGGCGGCACAGCCCGTGGTGACGAGCTGCACTGGATGGATCGCCTGTCTGGCGGGCCCGACAACCGCGACGCGCTCGGGGCACTTGGCGGCCACGTGCGAGCTGGCGCTCCGCGTCCTCCGTCGGGGTCTCCGTGGTGAGACAGACATCTTCAGTGGGACTACGCTCGGGTTGAGTCGGGCCTGTCCCTCTACAGGGGGAATGTTCACAAATGCCAACACGTAGTCTGGGGACACTGTTTTGGGGCATGTTTCTGCAATTTTGGAGCATGTTTCGAATATGTTTTATTAGTCGTCGAAAATCCCTTTGTAGGGGGACACGCCCGACTTAACTCTAGGGTTGGGGCGTTCCGCCAACCTGCGCGCGGACGGCGCCTCGCCGTCCGCAGGGTCTGCCACCTGCCCGCCCCGGCCTGCTCCCGGCGCACGGGGCAGAGTCGAGAGGAGGCGGAGCAGAAGAGAGAAGGAGGGAGGAGGATCCTCCCGTGGCCGGCCTGGGCTCGGGAAGCCACCGGGGCCGCTTCCCTGCGCCGGTCTGCTCTCCGTGGGCCCAGGCGCGGGAGCTGCCCAGCGGCCAGCCAGGCTTCGCGACCGGGGCCCTGACCGTCCCAGGTTTGTGCCGACCCAGGCCGGCGCAGGAGGAGGAGGAGGAGGAGGAGGAAGAGGAGGAGGAGGAGGAGGAAACGAGGGAGAGGAAGAGGAGACATGAGGAGGAGGAGGAGGAGGAGGAGAAGGGAGGAGGAGGAGGAGGAGGAAGAGGAGGAGGAGGAGGAGGAAAAGGAGGAGGAGAGTTCAGGCAGCTCATCCTCCGCTCTCTGCTGCGCAGAGAGCACGGTGGACACGCAGAGCACGTGCGTTCTTCTGCTCCCAGCCGCGAGGATCGCAACAGGAGCTGCGTTTATATCAGCGTCGAACGGGCCCTGGCGGTCCGTCCGCGCGCGGCGCCGGCATCGGGCTGAATCGCCCGCGCAGGCCCGCCCTGACATGGGGGCTCCAGCGACGACCCGAGAAATCCGCGTGGACCTCCGAAACTTGATGTGATGGGTTTGTTTTCCACCACCACCACCATAAGTTGGAGGGGGAAGGAGGTGGAGGAAGAGGAAGAGGAGGAGGTGGAGGTGGAGGAGGAGGGAGGAGGAGGAGGAGGAGGAGGAGGAGGAGGACCCCCTCCCCCCTCCAGCTTGTGGTGGCGGTGGTGGTGGAGGGCAGGCCCAGCGTGATGTTCCTGTCGCTGCCTCTCTCCCTAATGGGTGCGGCGGAATGATGTGGGCAGGTCACCCGCAGAGGCGAGAGGAGAGGAGGAGGAGGAGGAGGAGGAGGAGGAGAGGAGAGGAGGAGGAGGGAGGAGGAGGCAGGAGGAGGAGGAGGAGGAGGACTCGGAGAAGGGCGGGAGAGGAGGAGGAGGAGGAGGAGGAGGAGGGACGAGGAGGAGGAGGAGAGAGACTCGCGCTCCTGCGCGCGCCGCGGTCTGGGCGGGAGCGGCTGCCCTGCTCCCCAAGGTGGCGGGCGGCTCGAGGGCGCGAGGACCCACAGTCATGGGCCGGTGTTCCGCCACCACCACCACCACAAGTTGGAGGGTGGGGGGCTCCTCCTCCCCAGTTATTCTTCTTCCTCGAGCTCCTCAGCCTCCACCTCCTCCCAGGCGATCGCAAACATGGATTGAGGGGGCGCGGATCAGCGACGGGTCCCCGTTTCCACGGGAAATCGCGGATTTCCGCCGCCGAGCGAGGCGGCACCGGCCGCACTTCTGGGAGGGCGCCTCCCCCCATCCATGGATTTGGTGACCGCGCGCCAACTCATGGATCGCTAATCCATGTCTGCGCGCCCCCGATCCTTCCCCCCCCCAACTTATGGTGGCGGCGGTAGAAGACAAGGCCATCGCACAGATCGCGGCGCACCGCGGAGCGCGAGGCGCGAAGCGGCGCGGCCTGGAGGGCGCAGGACGGGGTCAGGTGCGATCCGAGATCGGTTTGGCTCGACGTCGACTTCGGCCAGTTCGATCCGGCTCGGTTCTGGTTTTCGGGCGGCCCGCATCCGATGGTCGGCGGCGTTCTTGTGCATTTTGGCGCGGCCGATCCAGTTCGATCTCGATTCTGTGCCGACTAACCGATTCGGTGTTGATTCATATTGGGATGGACGTCTGGGCCTGGTTGACCTTGTCCGATTTGGCACCCACGGTCGGGAGCGTGGCAGCTGCCACCGCAACCGTGGGCGGCATGCCCTTCCACCTTTGTGTCACCGCTCCCGTCTCTTCTCCCGCCCCTCCCGCTCCCTCTGCTGCAACTTTTAGTCTCCTGCGCACAAGCCGCTCTCGTCAAAGAGCCAGCAGCGTACGCCGTGGCTCGGCCCAACCTCCACCTGCAGTCAGTTTATCAGGCAGCGCTGCCGCCAGCATCCGCCGCTGCGCCCGGCGTGTGCAGTCGCCGTGGGCGACGGCCCGCGCCGCTGTGTGCCTCCACTGCGTGCCCGTTGCGTGAGCATGCGGGCCTGCACGCGCCACTCGTGCACGCGCGCGCCAGAGGCTGGGGGGTAAGAGAGCGTGGTGCCCCCCCACCGTGACGCCGGGTGAGGCTCGTGTCGCGCGGGCGAGCGAGACGGGGCTGCAGGGAGGGCGGCGACGCGACGCGCCGGCGTGCCAGAAGTTTCCCCCCGTGGCCGCACGGCTCTCAGAGGAGGGCCAAGGTACCCACACCTCTGCCCTTCCCTCGTCTTCCCCTTTTTGGGCCCCCCGGGGGGCCCTCGAACTTCTAGGCAGAACGCACCCCAGTGGAGGTCTGGGGAGTAGCGGTGTGGGTACATTCTGGTGTCCCCAGGTCTTTCGCCACGGTTGTCCCACGTTGGTCCCGCGTTTTATGTCGTGGTCGTCCCGTGGACAGTCTTGTGTTTGTTCTTTGGGTTGTTTTTTGGCTTGTCTCGTTGATCGTCTCTTGGGTTGTCGCGTCAGTTGTCTCGTGGGTAATGCAAGCAGGTCTGAAAATCACATGGCAATCGGAATACGCATAGATTTGCAATCAACCTGTAAGTCGACTTGCAAGTCGATTGCCAATCTGCATCACGCCGAACTGCCTTTCCGACAAGTAAATCGAAATAACATTCAGAGTGGAACCCGAACTGCATATGGTTGTGTAGCTGGATGTCCAGTCGGATCGTCAAGTCGAAATGCGAATACAAATGCCACATCGAACACATTATCGAACGCTTGTTCTACATAAGCACAATCAGTCACATTCTAATGGTCATCGGGGTAGAGGCGAAGTGCAACTATGATATCATATATCGAATGTGACCGTGGGATCGTTAGGTAGAGGGCAGACGCATTTCTTCTTAGATCTTCATGTACGCACACGGGTGTGTGTACACATGCATACATACACACATCCAGATGTCTGTACATATACACGTATATATGCACATACACATAGACATACAGTTACACATTCCCATACACATACCTACATCTATACATATACCTATACTTACACAGCTACACATGCATGCACATGCCCATACACATGTCTATGCGTATACGCATGCGCATACTTATACATACCCCAATACGTACACGTGTAACCATACCCATGCAGGTGTATACACATGTACATTTACATGTACATACACGTAGACGTGTGCACAGTCGTATACATATGTTTCTACATGTTCGCATACACATGCAGATGCACATGCACATTCATATACATAGACATGCCCATACACATATACATCCACATATGCATACACCAATGTGTATGTACACGCATACACATACATATACACCTACACACACATGCACACTGCTGTGTACCAATACGTTTACATACACATGTACATCTTCCTACACATGTGCAAATCCATATGTAATAATATACACATACATACATACGTACACACGTACGTACGTGCATGCATACATACATACATGCATGCATGCAGCATTCATACACACAGGTCTATATACATATATATATATACATATATATATATATATGTATCTATGCATGTGTGCATGTGTACATGTCTATTATCAATACATATGTATAGAGGTATGAATGTATAACAGATGCCGCCCCTCCTGGCCGCCCCGCGCACCTCGCAACCATCTACGGCAAATCCCCGATACCACCCTCCTGGGCGCCCAAGAGGAATCTGGGAGGGCCTCAAGACGACCCAGGACGTCCCCGAGACAGCCCAAGAGTGCCCCAAGGCTGTCCAAGACGGCCCCCCGACGGTTCTGGAGGCGCCGAAGAGCACCCAAGATCGCCGCAAGGGGCCTCCAAGAGTCCCCCAAGCGCTCCAGGGAAGCTCTCGAGAGGCCAAAACCATGGGAAAAACACCAGAAAATACATGATGTGTATGTTCCCGCGCTTCCGCCTCCGATACGCTTCCGAGG